GCACCAGTTCAAGCTGTTGATCTACCACTACTATATCCAACACAGAGATCCCAGGGTGGAGAGGTCGGCAGAAATGACCTTGTGTAACGTCTTGACATTTTACAATATTTCTCAGATTATGGTTTTATAAAAGCCATTACACCATCTTTTCAAATAGCCCTTTGCAATCTAACCGATGAAAAAGTACTTCATCCAGATCAATAAAGAAAGTTCCCCGTGTAGGTTCAGGATCCCATTGTTGGCAAAGCAAGAATAGATACAATTACTCCAAAAGAAGCATTTCGTAAGAGTCGACCGACTGGGGGCTTCCTTCGAAGTCGGAATGCATCTGCATGAGAAGCAATAAACAAACAATCTGCATGCCTGCCAATAAAAATGTAAAGCGGACGTGCACGCAACTGTTAGGTTCTGAAAAAAGAGAAAAGTTTAGAGGTGGACGATTCTTCCGCCTGAATTTAAAGCTGGTAGACGCGTAGAAGAAGAAGAAGAAGAAGAAGAAGAAGAAGAAGAAGAAGAAGAAGAAGAAGAAGAAGAAGAAGAAGAAGAAGAAGAAGAAGAGAAGAAGAAGAAGAAGAAGAAGAAGAAGAAGAAGAAGAAGAAGAAAGAAGAAGAAGAAAGAAGAAGAAGAAGAAGAAGACAAGGAAGAAGAAGAAGAAGAAGAAGAAGAAGAAGAAGAAAAAGAAGACGAAGAAGAAGAAGAAAAAGATGAAGAAGAAGAAGAAGAAGAAGAAGAAGAAGAAGAAGAAGAAGAAGAAGAAGAAGAAGAAGAAGAAGAAGAAGAAGAAAAAGAAGAAGAAGAAGAAGAAGAAGAAGAAGAAGAAGAAGAAGAAGAAGAAGAAGAAGAAGAAGAAGAAGAAGAAGAAGAAGAAGAAGAAGAAGAAGAAGAAAGTGAGGAGTTCAAATGTCTCTTTCCCTAGCAGTAACATTGACTAGCTAACGAAAGCCTATGAGTTGGCCGGACTGTCTCCTATGAGCCAGTGAATATTAAAAACAATGATTTCACAGACTGCAAGTAATAAGAAACGTTTACGTCAGCTTCCTCGAATCAAGGCAAGATTAACAACTGTAGGTAAGTAAAAGCAAAGGACCCTTTTCCACGTCTTCGGCATACAGGGCTAGACTTGAAATTTATAGAACGACCGACAATCGGTGGGTGATTTGATCAACATCAAGCCTGGATTACAAAAACTGTACTGTTCTTATAATGCTCAGTTCAACAAACGTGAGGTATGAGACTAGGAGCTGATTACAGACTATATGTGTATGTGTCTATGTGTGAGTTATGTATATATATAAATATATATATATATATATATATATATATATATATATATATATATATATATATATATAAATATATACATACATAACTCACACATACTCATATTGTCTTTCAACAGCTATATATATATATATATATATATATATATATATATATATATATATAGATATATATATATATATATATATATATACTAGCTGTACCAAGCCACGCGTTGCTGTGGCATAGTTTGGCTAAATGGAAATGAAAGAAAATAGAAATCGCACGTGTCTAATACAATTATTGTCTGCTCAGATATAGAGATAGTCTTTGATCCCCACCCCACCCACCCCCACCCCTACAACTAAATCCACCTACTACCCTCTCCCTCATCAAAGGTTTTTGGAAAAGAAAGACAATGGAAATCGCACCTGTCTAATATAGTTAATGTCGCATTCTCTGCACATTTATATAGAGATAGTCTGGTTTTCCAACTTTAGAACACGCACCATATAATTGTGTCTTTATATTAGTGGTCGTTTAAATGGTGCTATTAGCACAGTAACAAAAGTGGTTATTTGGTTATCACAGGCTAAAGCTGTTTGTATTTTTATAGGAGACGTAAGTAAAGCTACTACTGTACTTGTAAATAACAAAGTAAGTCGTACAAAAATTAGAATAGCGAAGGTAGCGTTAGTAAAATATAAACAATTCAAGTAAGTAATGAGAACTTAAAAATCATGTGTAAAGCTCTTTAAGTTCTCTTAAATTTCAGTCAATACCCTCTTCTCTCCCCCCCCCCCCCCCACCCCCCTCCCTCTTCCACCGACTACTGCTCTCTCCCTCTTCAAAGGATTGAAAAATCATCACCTGGCGATATATTTTTTGTTGTAACTGACATTGACATCCCTGTCCATCCGGACTAAATTGGGAGCAGGAATTGTAATAGGTAGTGAATGGGGCTGATGTAATATTTACCGCATCATCCTTCAAGTACCAGTACGACTACTACCACGACCACCACTACAGTCGCTAAAATAATGTCACTGCTATCTGTGTTACCATCGGAGCAGACTGGGAGTCGTGAGCTAGAAGATTTGGTGCCGCATGGCTAGTGCTGTCGCCACAGACTGGTCAGGTTAGGATGTATAATTTCGCTCCCCGACAGAAGAAAGCCATAACCTTACCGGCGGTCTTCACATGAGAGCACTACGGTGTAACCGCCCAACCACAACTACTATTGCTGCTGCTACTTTGAGTGGGTAAAGCAGTTACTGTGACTTAAAGCTCTCTCAGTTAATAGTTTTGCCCCCCCCCCCCCCCCCCCCCCCCCCACCCCCCCCCCCCCCCCCCCCCCCCCCCCCCCCCCCCCCCCCCCCCACAAATTCACCGACTACTCTTTCCCTCATCGAAGTAGTTGAGAGGGGGAAAAAACCAATTGAAAAGCAATTAAAACAGGAAAAATACACCAGAATTAGGAAATGAACGCTATGGTAAACAGCACAGCTTAAAATTCCAACGCAGATGAAATAACTAAATCTAAATGAAAATAAATGGAAAGCTATGAAATTTCAGCGTAACCATGCAATCGAACAGTTTAAAATGAAATCATAAGTATGTGAAATGGTCAAATGTAATTATCAACTGGTTTACCCACAAAATTGTCATTGTTTTTTTTTTTTTTTTTGGTTTTTTTTTTTATATATATATATCATTAAGGGCCATATGGCTAGTGCTGTCGCCACGACTGTGCAGGTGAGGATTTTTTTTGGGCCCCAAATAAAAAAAAAAAACTACAGCGGATTCGAGACCTGGTCTCCCTCTCAAGAACCGGGTGTTCTAACCATTCGACCAAGCAACCACTCTATCGTAGTAACGAAAAGAGAACATAACTATTTTACATGTGTGTCCCTACCGCAGTGTCCTGATTATAACACAACTCAAAACAGCAGGCAATTGTTTTCTCATAGACAGATATTCCAAATATATTAATGTAACGGCACAACAAAAGAAATCGCACGTGTCTAACACGGTTAATGTCGCAGTCAATGTCTGCGCAGACGTCGAGATAGTCCCTGATGCTCCCCCCCCCCCTCTTTTTCCCTACCAATCCATCGGCTACTTTTCAACTCATCGAAGGATGTCTGGAAAAAAAACAGAAAATAGAAATCGTGTCTAATATAGTTATTGTGGCAATCACTGCCTGCACAGATATAGGTATAGTCTTGTTTGCTGTACCACGACCTACTCTATGTATTAGAGGAGGTGTTGGCTGCACGGCGCATGCGCAATTACTAACGTGGCTATAATTAGAAATCACTAACATTATAAATATTAGTTTCGAATATTATGGCTTAAATTGTGGTCACCTATATCTTACAGTGACAGGTTGAATTTCAAATCATGATGGTTCAACATCCGGTATCAAAACAAACATATCCTGAAAATTTCAGCTAAATCGGTTCAGTAGTTTCCTAGTCTATAAGGGGCAACACACAAACATTGATATATATATATAAAGATACAAGACACTTGCTGATGCATGCCGATACATGCTGATAGTGAGATCAGCGCTTTCTCGTCTGACAGGAATTAGTTTTATGTTGGTGACAAGACACTCTGGGGTAAGAGAATGAACGAGCGGACTGGCTTGGAGTGGACCAAGCTGATGTTCTCCGTGCTCTCAAGAGGGCAGGACGAGGAGATGATCCAGGAGAAAACAAGACTATCATGTAAACCAACAAAGAACTGGTGCTATCAGTCGACACACGTTGAGAGACTGAAGAAGGGATTCGAGCACGTATGCACTAGTCCGATATGCAATGCTTTTGTTGTTATTGTTGATGTTTGACAAGCACTCAGGGTGGGATACACGTCAGTTCTGACTTGGCCCACTAAGACAGTGGCCATAATAGCAATCGTCATCATCTGTAGTTTTATTAGCTCAAACGTGTCATGGTCAACCCACCATTTCAGTAAATATAGTTTTATTAGCTCAAACGTGTCATGGTCAACCCACCATTTCAGTAAATATAGTTTTATTAGCTCAAACGTGTCATGGTCAACCCACCATTTCAGTAAATATAGTTTTATTAGCTCAAACGTGTCATGGTCAACCCACCATTTCAGTAAATATAGTTTTGCTAGCTCAAAACGTGTCATGGTCAACCCACCATTTCAGTAAATATAGTTTTGCTAGCTCAAAACGTGTCATGGTCAACCCACCATTTCAGTAAATATAGTTTTATTATCTCAAACGTGTCATGGTCAACCCACCATTTCAGTAAATATAGTTTTGCTAGCTCAAACGTGTCATGGTCAATCAACCACCTCAGTAAATAAACAAAGTATTTTGTGTGTCAATTGAATATATACCTAATAGAGGTAACGTCGATATCATTGTCAATTGACGTTACTGCTTGGATTAATCGATTTTTATGGAGTGAAGGACAAAGAGGTCTCGTGTCTGGGCATTTATAGTGGATGGCTAGTAGTTACAATGGACTGTGTAGATCGGGACTGTGTGTGTCTTGACACCCAAAAAAAGACAGAAAGTCAGTATCTTACGGGATTTGGACCTGAAACTCCCCAACGAGAGACCGGCATCAGTAAAGGTGCTACTGGTTAAAACAAAAGTGCTTAGTTGACTAGAGAGACTGGCAATGTGACATTTCTTTAATTTTGTGACAGGTCTCCTTGTCTCAAAATTTACCAATTACATTTCAAGTCACAAGCGGACCTTGTACCCCACACACCCCTTCCCTGTGGGACTCCTCGAGAATTATGCTAAAAAGTATGTCCTTCTGGTCTAATTAATTTATTGTTCTACCAAAAAATATGTTTTAATAAACCAATTGAATCTTTCCGATATGTCTACATTGTCCATTCTTTGACTACTTGTTGATTTACAGAGACACACACACACACACACACACACACACACACATATATATATATTTGGTATATATATATATATATAATAGATATAGCGTATAAATATATCCGTATATTCATTTGAGCACTGTAGCCTATGAAAAAAAGCAAAGCACTTGGAAAAAAAAAATCTCCAAAAGGTGCCAACGTATTACACACAGGATGTATTCTATGAAGCTGATTGGCCGGGGACTGAACAAATTGCAGCTCACGAAGCTATACATTTTCTTGCTCGTCTGCTTCAAGTTTTAGAATGGAATTTCTTCCTGTCTAAAATTGCCGAATGCTTCCGGAAGCCCACCCCGCTTCAAAGGTCAGAGGCAACCGTGTAGCCGACAACAGCTTGAAATCTTCTGCCCTTATTTGCTGACATTTCACTTAGGGAAATTCGTTGTCTGGTCAAGTTTATATAAAAACGTCGAAATTTGCGAGCAACTTCCTGTTGACATGAAGCATGAAGGTAGTTGGGGATGTTTCCATCATGTGGCCAACTTGCAGCCATGCAAATTACGTCTTGACTGGCTGGCCAAGAATGCCTAATAAAAGGGCAGGATAAAACAAGAAGATGCATGGAAACGCAAGATCCAGTTCAGCTGACATACAGTCTGCATGCATAGAATCTTGCTGAGCTCACAGACAGATTCTTACCAGTTGTCAGCAAACAAGCTTATACAACATACAGTTCCCCACCTACAGGGAGAGAACATGTGCATAGCTGCAGAGGAAGAGAGTCTGACATTCAGCAATCTTGCCATAACTAGCTCAATAAGTTAGGAATCAACTAGGGTGTATTCTCCAGACTTAACGTCTGTAATCAACTGTACAGGCCCACTTGGGATTACATACGTACATGTGTACATAGTCGTACATAATTAGGTAATATGCTAATCACCACAATTCACTGTTTGTTATTATTACTGTTAACGCACACTTTTCAGCGCTCATCATTTATGTCTGCTAATATTCACTATTAAACGTGGTAATGCATAACCCACGACAGCTAGTCTACCACAACCCAGTTGACAGACACGTAACTAAACATACAGTCTGCTTTTTGGACTTGTGAATGAAGCTAACTTTAGTACCGCAAATGTTGTTTGATATAGTTAAGTTAACAATTACTTTTGATACGTTCAGTCACACTTTGACATAAACTAATTTAAATTATTGTAAATAACATTGCATTTCGTTCATTTGCTCTATTTTTTTTTTTTAAATTTTGATTGTTCGTAACCCCGATTCTCTTTTTCCCAATCAGTATCAGTTCTCGTTATGCCTAGTGGCACATGAGGCTTCAGAGAGGACTTTCCATCCTTTCCTGTCCTGTGCAATCTTCAGTGCAGTTTTCCATGTCAAAGATGCCGCACTCAGGTCACTTTCCATCGTTCGTCTCCATGTTGTTTTTGGGCGCCCCTATTTTCTCTTTCCCTCTGGTGTCCATGTGAGAGCTGTATTGGTTTCCCAATAGAAATGCTTAATAATTCTACTCGATATTGTTAGATTATGTACACTGACATCTAGGACACGGTCTGATGCACGATCTGTTGGTGTCTATTAGAGCTGATAAGTGAAACATAACATCTGCTCTGTTTTATTGTTCCTCTCTAATGAACATGAAAACCCATCAATTTCTAATACCAAACATACTGCTGATTTGTGATGTATATACTCTAAAAATTGCCAATTTACTGTCAATAACAGTCTGAGATAGTATGTTTTCTTGGACCTCAACGGTTAATTTGGCACACATATGCACTGAATCTCACTAGGTAATGTATCCTCACTTTGAATACAAGAGCAAAGTTTTCACAGCGAGATTTCAAATCATAGTTAGGTTATCATTATTTCACTCTGAACACGTCCATAGGTGCTCAGTGTGAACCCCAGCGTCCGGTGGTTAACAGTACTAGTTCTTTGTTGATTAACATGTCCTCTAATGTGCCTAGTGTGCGTCTTGTTTTTTGTTTCGTTTTGTTGTTGGTATGCCGATCTAACTCCCAAGTCTATAATTCTGGCAAGTGATGTGGATTTACTGCTCCCAAAGTCCTCTACTCTTTCCGTTTTTCGAAGGGCTTTAAAATTAGCATGATCCATAGGTTGACCGTCGGTAGTGATAACGGATCTAGCAGCACTTTCATTTTCATCGATGCCCACGTGTCCCAGAACGAAAAAAAAAAAAAAGGTGACTCCACGTAGAGTGGACTTCTGTAATGATTCAAGACATTGCTTTCGTTCCGAACATGCCTGAACCCTTCAGATCAGACTAAACAAATCAATAGGTACACATGCGCGGGTGCAGTTTTATGTTTTGAGCCACGTGAACGCTTACGTTACTACCATCACCTCCATCGTCATGCTGCTGGGTGTCATAGAGAAGGCGCCGTTGGCTTCTTTGACAGTTTTGCTCGCTGCGCGTGCTGTGAACACCCATACGCTTCTTAGTTGGCGTATAACGGATCTGTCTGTGTAGATCAGTACATCTACATCGTCTGAATTCTCACTCATGATAGCGTTGACCTCTGCATTGATAACAACACGATTCTTCTCCTTGCATCGCATATGGAGTGTGGCAATAGAGAAAAAAGTACAAATAAACGCACGAGGAACGGGTATTCACTCTGCACCAGGGTTGATGTCGGTTGGGTTGCATATTTGCTTTAAAACCTTCTCTGCCCGAACTAGCCATGATTTGCGCCCTTTTCAGCCTGTCGCCTTTTATACTGAAAAGCTCTTGATGCAGTGGGTGTTTCTTGGCGAATATTTTAAGATATGCCTGAGCCCTTTAGATCCTGATGTTCATGGTTAGAAAGTCAAGTAGATAACTCATTGTTACGCAGGAAGTGCCTCTCGTCCATCCCAAAATATAGCGCATTTTTGCATTTTTTCAAGTTCTTAAATCTGTGCAGCAATGGCAGCGAGGATGGCTAGAGCATATTCAACAGGGAAAAGAACTAGACCCTAGAACAGAAGTATTAGTTGTCTTTGCTGGATATTAGAAACAGCCACAACCTTCACTGCAGGCGTTCTTTGTTAAACTCATGGTAAACATGTTCCTTGAATAACCAGATGCGATCAAGCCTCACCCCGAGAAATGACATCACTTTGATTCTGATCAACGCTTTATCACCCATTTGCACATCTGGTATGTCCGTTTTGACAATGTGATTGTTTAATGAGCCTCAGTTTGGGGAGCCAGCAAGGTCGTTACCGTTAGTATCTAATTGATTGGGTCCATTATTCTCCCCCTTTTTCGGTTGACCCTGGGGGCATATTTCTTTATATGGTTACGAAATCAGAGGTATTATACTGTGTTAGGGGTGATCAATCCGGTCCACAGTCGACATCTGTCTCCAGATGTCAGTTATCCCCCCGGTGATACCGGCTTGGCGGGGGGGGGGGGGGGGGGGGGGGGGGGGGGGGGGGGGCCAGTCTTTCCATAGGTGTCAAAAGGTCTTTTCCGATAGTCACCAGTACTATCCCGGTTGTCTTGTGGGCTAGCCACGTACAATAAGAAGAAATTCCACAGGGGAGCATGTACAGCAGGAGTCTACCAATCATGAGTAGAAGTAATTTCTTATCGACAAATGTTTCGGCCCGCTATACATTTTCAGAGAGTGGGCCCACCTGAGTTCATGAGGCTCAGAGTTGATTTGTGTGTTGTATAATCTGTTTTCCTTCCTATGTGTCTATGTGAGCCTATCAACATCTGCAATAAGACTTCTCATATTGCACGTAATTTACAACAGGAGCGACTGGCAATAGTCCTGAAGGAGGGCATACCATGCATGATGATTGTATAAACTATTGAAACGAACTACTTACTGGTCTTGGTCTCGATACTAAACATGTGCTAGTTGTACTTCCACCAGACGGAGGGTAAACATACATGCTGGCTAGACTGTATGAGCTATCGACACGAACTACTGTCTTGATCTCGATACTAAACAAGTGCTAGCTGTACTTCCACCAGACGGAGGCCTAACATACATGCTGGCTAGACTGTATGAGATATCGACACGAACTACTGTCTTGGTCTCGATGCTAAACATGTGCTAGCAGTACTTCCACCAGACGGAGGGTAAACATACATGCTGGCTAGACTGTATGAGCTATCGACACAAACTACTGTCTTGGTCTCGATGCTAAACATTTGCTAGCAGTACTTCCACCAGACGGAGGGTAAACATACATGCTGGCTAGACTGTGTGAGCTATCGACACGAACTACTGTCTTGGTCTCGATGCTAAACATTTGCTAGCAGTACTTCCACCAGACAGAGGCCTAACTTACATGCTGGCTAGACTGTGTGAGCTATCGACACAAACTACTGTCTTGGTCTCGATGCTAAACATGTGCTAGCAGTACTTTCACCAGACTAAATCTAAGGTGCTAACCTCTGCTGTCAGTGGTCATGAACTACCCTGCTATTTTTAATGTACCATAATATGATAATGTACGTATGGTATACATACAGTATTTTATAGTATAAAATTTCGTTCTTAAGAATGGCAAACAAGACAAAAATTGGGAACACATTTTGAATAATTTTAGAGCACCCATGAACACTGCTGCAGACAATCATGTTAAGAAGATGATTTACAGTCGTGAAAGACGATAAAAATGCATTAAATTCGGCCAAAGCACATTGCACACCGAATGAAGACATTACAAAGAAATAATTCACATTCTTTGTGCAGGTGGCAAAACGAGTCAAAAACAACTGTACTGTAACAAACATGGACCAGGAAGGATGTGTCTAGCTGCTGTCTTGTGTGTTGATTGTCACGAACATAACAACATCTCTTTAGCTGAGGGCACAATTTTCGGATGTCACCGTTTACAGTCCATTTTGACTAGAACTTTCTACATTCAGTTGTCTAGTGTGTCCATTCTTTTCCTTTTTGTTTTCTCTGCCAATGGTTTTCAGATGAGAAGGCCTCTGTAAAGTCTGTGGTGCGACGCATATCTTCCATTAAGCTTGGCTTTAATTGGAACCTAGGATCTCTCTACAGCTCGTAGAGAGTATGTCTGTACACATTATGCCGAATTGCGACACTGAATTTGGCTTGATGAGAATATGAATTGTCACCCCCCCCCCCCCTCCCCACTTTCCCCACCAAATCATCAACTCAGTCGGACACATGATCGACAGTCAAACAGATTACAGAAATGACAACACGTGTCGGTAATTGATCCAAAGATACACACAGTTAGGTAATTTACATTTTATGCCACGCTACAAAGCAGACCCGACGCAATGATGTTTGTCCAAGCCAAATAAGCGATTCCCATTGCTTGTCACTCTGAACAGATATATCATCATTTAACTTAGATACGATACTAAGTTATGGCTGAAGATTGGAAGTAGAGTGTAAGAAAGAGGTAATACTTGACAGAGACTGTTTCAATCCCTTATCAGAATGACTGTTTAATGTAAATGTTACAGTTAACACAGAAACACGGCGCCTGAAGGAAACAGCCATTTAAAGAGGTAGAAATTTATTATTATATTTGGGCTCAGTGATTTATAGAATTATAAACAGATGCTCTTTTGTGTGGAAACATAATACTCAATGTTACATGTATGGGGCAAGGTAATACATTTTTGGTG